AAGACTGAAGAATCTCACAAAGAACAAATTAAGAATTATACTTAATAAAATAACCTTTGGGAACATACCATTAGGTATGCTTAATTATCATTCTAAAAAAGAGGAACAAGGATTCAAATTTCATAATACGGTTAAAATTCTATCATTATTCATAACTAACTTAATCCTGTGCCTTTGGTAGCTGCCTCACACAGGTCAAAAACCTGTTCTCATAAAGCGTGGGCTATTCTAAGACTATTGAACTCATTGTATATACTCTGATACGCGGCATTCAAAAATAACCTCTCAGTAATTTTGCTGACTCACACTAACAGCTTAGCATCAGCAGGTACTGGTGTTTCACCAGCAATGTAAATTCATGCTAATTTTCTTTGAGATCTTGCCTAAAAAAAAGCAAAAATGGAAGTCAATCCCAGAATGATTGTCACGTAAGTGCAATAACTTTACTCACTGGAAAAAAGACAGTAAAGTACCTTATTAGCCCATTTCTGTAATTTTGACTACTACTAAGAAAAGGTTTTGACAATTCTTGTATCCAAACATATAGGTTGTTACATTGTAATCCTCTCCTGAACAATCAAAATCCTAGAATCCCCTTAAAAATAATCTCACAAGCAGTCCAGAGCACCACATGTGCTCCCCAGCCGAGAGCCTCCACAAGGACCTGGTGCTCCCTGGCCTTGTGCCGTGGGCAGCAGCACTGCCGCAGGCCTGGACCACTGGCAGCTGCAAGTCACCCTGCAGGGACACCATTCACTGCCACTGCGACGTGAGTCAGCTCAATTCACTTTTCCAGTCCTAGTCTGCCTCCATTTTCTTTCTACCAAGGTGCAAATATTTAAGAGACATAAAACAAGCCTAGTATGCAACTAAAATTAATCTCTGCAAACACATAATGAGCCAAAATTACTCCACTCAATAAATATTTCAGCTACTGTAGTCTCCAGTATCAGAAGAATCATATTTATGGCATATCCCTAAATGTGCATACCAGACTACTTGACATATTAACCAAAATTAATTCCTAGACATTTAGTGATGGTACTCTGATACCACATGAGAAATTTGGTTTGTCTTCTTGTCTCTCTTTCAAGTGAGAGGTTTTGCAAAAGTACTTATGTACTCTGACTTGACAAATTTTGACCAACTGCAGTTCTCAATAAATCAGAATTAAAACCATGCCCTTCAGGATTTTATCAGTACTTCATGAGCTCACATTGCAAGCTACTAGGTGTGATGTTAACTGGGTTTAGATCTATTTGGACAAAGGTCATAGGACTATACAGCTTTTTAGCAAAGTACGGAGCTGTGGGCTTCACAACCAAAATCCCCAGACTGAAAAATTCTCCACAGGTTATTCTCCACAGGTTACTAAAGGTCCTAACTTTTGAAGTGGTAACTTTCAGAATGGAAGTTATTAAGGCTTTTTCAGATAATCACAGTTTCAGAGGACCATGACCTTTCTTTAGGAAGCCTGACAGAAGCAAGTCCACTGCTACTGCTGCTGCAAGTGGCTACCAAAATGAAATCAAACATGTCTCACACTTCCAACAGGCAAGCTGCCAGTTATAAAGTCTTAGGCACAGGTAAGGAAAGGAATGACTTAAGTCAGTAGTTGGTGCCTGTATTGGCTTACGGGCCACAGGAGGTCTCCTGGTACTGTTCAGATATGAAACATACATGTTCTTGGTAAACATAGGACAACGTACAAACTACAAAGCTTGAGCAGCATCTATTAGAATGTTTGGAGTGACTAGCTACCAAACAGCTTTTTAAATTAAATGGATTTCATCTAGACGAGGGCTTGAATGTCCACCAAAGCAACAGTCAACTATTCACAAGTAGAAGCTGAGAGACAAAATGGCAGTGTGGAAGGGCCTTACAGAAGGGCCCTCAGTGGCTCCACACTCCCCCACGCCTAAACCCATTTATTCAGTTTTTATGCAGCTGAAAGTTTCTCATTAATTAAGAAAAGATTGGTAGGTGCAGCTGCAGTTTCAATGGAGCTCTTTCCAAGAATCTCCATTTGCTCTGCCTCACTACCAGATGCACAGTTCCTTCTCCAGCTTGTACATATTATAATTCATTGTTTGTATATTTTGTCCTTTTGATATTAACATAAGATGGAAGTTATCATTACATGACAGAGAAAATAGAGGCACCACTGGAGTAGCCCTTTTAAAATCATGCTGCCTGTTGTCTTTGCAATCACTTACTTAGTTGTGCTGCTCATTTTTCACCAGCACCTGACATCATCTCTCCAAGATCTGTTGTTATTATTAGGGAGTCTGCTAACTCAGCTGCTTCACAAGATAGCAGAAAAGATCTGCTGGCATTTCCAATTTGAATCCTATTTTTCAGGAATCATAAATCACACATAAATTGCCCAACAGCTAAGTACAACGTGCACAAATACCATTGTGAAATCCCATTCCCTTGAAAGGAACACAAAGAAGTGTTTGGATCCCGTCATGCTCCCTGCAGTATCAGTATGTACATTGCTATTCACCACACACGATTAAACCTTAAATTCTTAAAGTGAAAACACAGGAATGCTTTGACAGAGATAATGCCTTGTATGTCTCTCCTTTGACATCACAGGCATATGGCATGAGGACAGAATTGGTCACATTTCCTCCAAGTTTCCTTTTGGTGAACAAGCCTTACTCTTCACATTGTTGCTGGGCGTATCCTCGAGCTGTTCTGAAAAGCATACAAGCATGTACAGAGCTGGCACTGCAATTAGCATAATTAAACATGATAATCAAACAGCCTTCAGTCAGCAGGCAGACCTGACTACACTAGGAGCCTTCCTCAAGAGTAAACTGTCCCTACATGTGAGTCACACAAAGACTTCAGTCTCAAAGGGCTGGAAAAGAAAACTGTTTAATTACATTCCACAGACAAACCATCACTTTGGATGAATACTTTCCCTGGACAAAAGGTCACCTAGTTACCTAAATCCCATAGAATTTCTCAGTTTGAGACCATAAGGGAATATATACTTACAATCATCTCTTTAGGATGAAAATTGACCACTTCAGCAGTTAAACACCCAGAATTCAACATTTGGGTGCTGTAACAGAAATCAAAGATTCTGAAACACTATTAAAAAAATGGCAACAAAAAACCACTTCTGTCTGTCAAACAGTAGAGAGGATGCAAAGGAGCCTAACACTTCTCTAATTCAACAGCAGAGAAACTAAAATAATGATCCTCGGATATGTACAGGGGGATTCTGGAGGTGCAAATGGGCTTCTCCACAAATTTTTAGACACAAAGTTGGTTAAGAGGGATAGCTTTATGCCTGGATATTGCCTTTATTCAAGTTTTGGCCTCCCTTAATGCTCTTTAAACACAGATGTTGGTAGTTTCTTGTTTAAAGATTGAGCAGTGGTGAAAAATACATTCATTTCTGCTTGTTAGAGATGTTGATGAATTCCAGTCATGTGCAATTAAGCTGTAATTCAACACAATGACAGACTAAACAGCCAAGTCTAGACGCACAAGGAAAAAAATCACCAACCAAAAATAAAATTCCTAGAAAAAAATTCACCAACAATTCTATATTCTTTCTGATGCAAAGGGGATACATAACCTTATTTATCATATGAAATAGGAGTATTTTCTTTATTTTAATTTATGCAGCAGTACCGGAATGCATCATCTAAACAAGACAGTAAAAAAAAATTAGACATGCTGTAATATTTTTGCTAAAGGAGAAACATGGAACCTTTTTGTCTCCCTGAAGTTTTAAAGTAAAACGCACACATGTTAAAAATGAGACACATTGCATTTTGTCTTCCTTAAAAATAAATTCCCTCTCTGTAAAAGCAGGCAACTAGTGTGACTGAGAATATGAATTGGCTTCACAACATTTAAACTGAAATGAAAGACATGTATTCTAGGCCTGAGTTTACTACCAAGATTTTGCCTTGTATCAAAATCTTCGTGCTGTGTATTGTTGTATTAGTTCTGTTGGTTTTCAAACCAGAGGAAGAACTAGAGGTATGTAATTGTTTTCTTAACTCTGACAATGTTTTACTCTTTATAGATATGGGGAGATACAGAAAAAACTACCTTAACTTATGCTGCAAGAAAAACTAGTCACACGACATTTTGCCACATTATTATTTGCACAGATCAATGCTGTCATACTAGCACGGCATTAGGATCATTTCGTCAACAATGTATACCAACTGGCTTTAGGAATTTGATGCAGTAGCAAGAAACAACATTTCATAGCCCTTTTTCACCACTTAAGAGGTACCCCTGAAGCTGGATTTATAACACTCATCAGTACTACGTTGTTCCAGTCAATGTGCACATGCCACAATAATTCCACCAAGGAGAACAATTTCTACTACTCCTTGAAGGTCAGATATTTTTATACGAGAACCTTGATTAATTTCAATTATCCATACTCACTCAGCATTTGTATTAGAGTAACGAAATCTTAGAAAACTTACCAAACACTTGATTCCCATACAACCAGAACAAAACAAAATTTCACACTTTACCAAGTTGGAAAACAAATATTTCACTTTATTGTATGAATCCTCTAGAGGAAGGACAGGTTTGAAAAAAGGTAGTAAAAGAGTTTTAGTCTTATGAGCCCTAAAAATTTCTGATTTTCTCATACAAGCCAAAGAAAGTTCCTGTGAGTGCAGACTCACCACAACTCAGTTCTTTGTACCAAGGAAGAGAAAAGTCCATGTCCTTTGGGAAGAAACATGGGGCTTGAGCTGCACTTGTGCAACAGCTGTGACATCAGTTCTGCTCCATCAAAATGTAGGGCAAAGCTTTCAGGTTTTTTTTGTTTTGTTTTGTTTTTATTCTGCCTAATAGAGTAAGCTTCAGTATCTGGGGCTACTAAATTGGTGCTATATAAAGAAACTGTTCAGTCAAAAAGGCAAGTTTTCTTAACTTTAATAAGGCTCTAAAGCAAATGGACTAGGCAATTTCAAAGTGTAATTTATTAGTTCTGCTCTTAAACTCACCTCGAACATCAGGAGAGAATCGAGCTGAATGGCGAGACACAAAAAGTTTCAGTTCTTGATCCAAGTTGCATTCGACCAAGTTCGTGTCCCATGATCGGATTCCTAAAATTCAAAATACAAAACATATCTAGCTTGAAACACGAGCACTGGAAGTTTTAACTGAGTATGTCTCCATTTGTATCCATGCTATTTGCATATTTCTAAATACCAAACCCAGCCTCACTTCCTTTCAAGGCACATTGCTATATTTTAGAATGTGCTGAGTGCTAAGAAGGACTCTGAGAGAAATCAAAAAGAGCGAATCTGCCTTTCCAAAGGGTCACCACTCTTTAAGGCCCCAGCTTTAGGACTGCTGGTCCCATATCCTCGCAGCCACTTTACAAGAAGTCACCAATGTCCCCAACTTGAATTTAAAATAGAAATACACGGGGTTACAAAAATGAAAGAGTGAATCACTCAGAGGACACTTTTGTCACATTGCATACTGCTCTTTTGAGAAAAAAAAAAAAAAAAGACAGCATTACCTAGCATGTTGATAATTAATATTTAAATAAAAAGTATTAAATTGCTGACTTCTTAAAAGCTTTGAAGCATCCCATATTTTAAATTAAAATTTGTTATATTTTATTTATGAAGGGTCAAAACTCTAGTTTTGAGATTTAAAAATGCTATGCTTGATCTTTTTTCTTTTAAAAACCAAACAGTACATTGCTGATCCCTAGTGCTTTTCCTTCCCAGCTACTTAAAACATGAGACTTTTGACACATATATGACCAAAAAATGTATTGTTCGAAAATATATTTTTAAGGATTGAAATTGGACCAGGAAAAAAAAAAAAATCTTTGCAGCCAAGAGACAAGTTTCTATTTTTTTCCATAAGATTTTGATGACTAATTAAAAAACAAGCAACAAAAAACCAAACCAAACCAAACCTCAAACAAACAAACAAAAAACACCAACAGAACAACATGCTTTAGATTTTTCTATCATTTGCTTGTTTTGAAATTGTTATGAAAAATCTTCTAGTTTTGAAAAAATGATCAGGCAGTAGCACTACAGGTCAGTCCAGGCACTGCTGTAATTTTGAAAACCAAAATTACACTGGTTTTCTCTTGTTCTAAAAGAACATCATTAAATTTACACAAATTAAGTGGCAAACATGAAAGGGATGGCTGGTGAGGAAGTGTCTGGTGGCCCCTCCCCATATGCCTGACCATGCCTTTGCATGAAATTGTTGTGTTAAACCACTGTGGGGTTTGACAAAGGGATGACTGGGGAGGTGTGTGGACAACCCCTCACCATGAGTCTAGCACTAACACTGCTGGTAACTCTGTCAGGGTTTCAGGATGTTGCTAATCCCCATGTTATATATTTTGTTTCAGGGCAGCAGAAATATCGTGGCTTAGACAGCAGAAGCCATGATGCCAGGTTGAATGATGAAAAGAAGTGGGGGAATAGCAGGGAAACCAGATCTACAGTGCCAGTCTCCCACTGCAGCTCTGAGTAGATTCTCCATGCAAATATGAACATCTGCATTTCAATAGCCTGAAGCCTCTTCAAGGAGAATGCATCCAAGGCTTTTCCTTGTCAGCATCCGAGTCCAGGTAGAAAGCATGCTTACTACTGTAACACTCTCCCAGCTATTAAGTAGCTAAAACTTAAATCTCTTGAAAAAATTGAAAATAGAGTATTGTGTGTTTCATAACCACTTGAGAAAAATAACTCAGCTATAACCAGCCACCTCCACTTTCTGAGTGATGCATCATTGTTCTGAGGCATAAGCAGAAATCTTCTTCTGCAAGTCTCCTTATTTTCTTTTATCAAAGAATCTCTTGTCCATATGGTGCATTTTTGGGGCCAGTTTTGACAGACAAATACAGCTCAACAGACTTTAATATTTTCCAGGTGTTGGAATATTTGAGAGCAAGAAAGCAAAAATGACATAATAACACACACAGAGTGCATATGAAAACTATAACTATTAAACCAACATTGACCATAAAGTTGAAGTATGCAGAACGAATGAATGCTGAACTTCAAGAAGCTTGAAGATAAACAGCTCACTGGCCCATCACACCAAGCTTGTGTGAAGAGACTACAAAGGAGGTCAGTTAACCAACGGACCATGATTCAGCAATGCTGCTAATGATAGGACCTATCCACTATGCCTAGCTGTTTTTGTCACAAACATAAGGGATAAGATTTTGACTTGATGTAGTCAAGAATGCTGAGCCAGGCAATGTCCAAAATACAGGACTCAACACAAAAAAAATGTGTTGGGGGGGGGGGGGGGGGGGAAGGGGACAACCAAACCAGAAAACAAACAAGGTAGAAAAAGCCTCTGTACTCTATGCACACAGAAGTCCTAGAAGCCAAAGCTGGACATTTCAATAAAATGTCCCAAATCTGCAACTGCATCATTCAGCAGTCTGGATGCAAAAAAAATGCATGTACATAACAGAGTAGCATAATGTATTAAATATATGACATAAAAAAATAAGGTTTGGGGTAGAATGAAGGTAAACCTGGAACTAAAATTCAAGGTCAATCCAATGATGTAGACCATTAACAGCATGGACATAACTGCTGTAAACATGGCTGAAGTGGAGCTATTTCTTTCTTTCTGCAGTCGTAAGAGTGCAATGCCACTAGACACAGGACTAACCAGACAGCAGGCAGGGCACACCCAGTAGCATTTGCCAAATTAGTGGAAAAATCTTGATGTTTTCTCTTCACTCCTTTCTTCTCTTTTGGTGGACAGTTGGTTGGAATATTGCCCCCTTAGTAAAGTCGCATCCCAAATGTAATTACTGAAAATGCATCTTGCCACACCATTCCCTCCTCATAATATATAAAGAAATGACTCTGCATTCCACCAGGTTACGTAGCATCACGCCACTGATGTGTTATCAGCAGATGTTTTCTTTGACACGTTGCTCTGCAGTTTGGTGCACGAATCCACAGTTTTCAGTGATGGTACTCAGGAGATGTACCAGAGAAGACAGGGAGGCTGAGTTATCAAGAACCAAAGTGCATTTAAAGCTCTGTTGAGCATAAAAGTTGAAAGAAGTGGGGTTTTTTTCAGACTACAGCAGACACTCCAAAGAGAAAGATATTAGCTAAGCCCATATTTGCCTCAGGTAGATAAAGCTTCAGACTCCCATTCAGAACAACGTACCTCAAAATTTCATCACGGATTCCTCCTTAGCATGCAAAAATCTTAATCAGGTTGTCTGATACCAGAAGCAGCAAGGTGACTTCTAATCCAAAACTATGAATTAAAAGGCCAAAATGTTCCCTCTGAGCATCTAAACCTGTAAGTGGGTGTTATGCTTAAGTGGCAGGAGGTAGCAGCAACTGAGCTATGCAGCAGCAACTATACAATAGAAGATTCAAGAAGAGACTGAAGAGCGTTTCTTCAAAGGAAGGGTATTGGTTAGTTTGAGGGAAGAAATTTTAACAATTTTTTCTGCAGTTTTAACAATTTAACAAAAATGCAGCCAATTCACTTTGACACAACTGAAAATTAGAATTAAGAAAGTGCAGTGCTGAAGAGGCTCTGAATGACAAAGCACCTGCCTCAGTAGTTCTTCCTAGGAGACAATGGTAGCAATAAAGATGGAAAAGCTGGTTAGCTGAGATGAGGAAGCCTTTTACCACAAGCCATCGTGAAAAAGAATCCAGAGAAATAGCCAACTAAAGCAACAATGGTTGAGAAAGCAACAATAGAGACAGATGAAGTCCTAGCTGTACTGCTGAACCACACCTACATGATAAGGCTGCTACCAATTCCATGTTCTGGGGTCTCTTCCTTCCCTCTAACAATGGCAGGTTTCTGAAATCTTGGCTTCCTCCAGCCCAGAACAAAAAAAATGCATGATATAAAATCAGGTATCAACTGAGTTTAACAAACTGTAGGATCTGGCAATAATTTTCTTTGTGCTTCATTCCACTAATACTGCAATATTCCCTCCCCCCCCCCTTCTGCATATACACTGCAATCTGTTGTATCATGAACCACCAAGAAAACTTATTAAACTGTCATTTCACATACAATCCTGCATCACTGTTTAAATAAAAGGACAAAAAAAAAAAAAAAAGCCGAGTCAGAGCAGCCCGCAGCCAGACAATAAGGAGGCTGAGCACTCAGGTAACAGCCTTGTTACTCATATGGGTTATCTTTATTGGAATACATATAAGCGTATATAGAGCTTGGATCCTGAAAAATTCCCCAGACGGGAGAAGAGTTGGACACAAAGGCGCGGCTGCGCTCCCACTCGCGCAGCCTCTGCCGCCGAGGGGGAAAACGCCCTGAACCCGCCAGAGCGTTGGGAAACGGGAGACTGCGGGTGGCACCCGCCCCGCCGCTCCAGCCCATCCACGCCATCCACAGCCGCCCTTTGTCCGCCCCGGGCTGCCACCGGGACCGCAGTGCGGACCGCGCCACGCCCACCCGCCGGTGTCTCCGGGCAGACGGGCTGGACGGCTGGCGCTGCGCCCGCCCGGCCCCTCCGCCCCGCCATGGCGGGCGGGGGGCTCGCTGCGGCTCCCGCAGCCGCCGCCCCGCCGCGCCTGCACCCCGCCGGGGAACGATGGGAGGTGGGTGGGGGATTGTAGCGGGACCCTCGGGAACGAAGAGCTGGAGAGCGCGGCCGGGCGGCTGGCGCGGAATGGGTGTCCGGGGGGCGATCCCGGTCGCGCCCAGGGAGGGGCAGGGCGCTGGCGGGGGGTGTCGCAGCGCTGCCCTTGGCGCCCCGGCTCCCGCCGCCTCACCTCGCTCGATGTTGGCGATGGCCCGCCGCAGGTGCTCCTCTGTCACCAGCTCACCGATGACCACCAGCAGGTAAAACTTGCTGTCCAGGAAGCGGTGGGAGAGGCTGGGCGAGGTGGAGGTGGGGTTGGGGATGCTGCAGGAGGGCTCCGAGTCCACTTCCACCACTACGGTGGCCATCGCCTCCGCCCCGCGGCTCCGGGGCGCTAAGGGGGCAGGGGCAGCTCGGCGATGGCTCCGCAGGCAGCAGGGAGAGAGTGAAGGCGGGTGGGGAGGTGGCGGCGCTTTTATATGGAGACGGTGCAGGGCAGGGACATGGTGAGGAGAAGGAGGAGGAGGAGGAGGAGGAGGAGGAGGAGGAGGAGGAGGAGGAAGGGGGGGAGCCGGCGCATCCTCCGCGCCGCCGCCGCCGCGTTTCCAGCATCCACAGCTGATGTCATCTGCGGCAAATCCTCCCCGCGGCGGCCCCCGGAAGCGGGAAGGACGCGGGGGACGAACAACGCCCCGAGGGGATGCTAAGGGCCGTGCCCGGCTATCGGCCCCGGTGGTGGGACCGCGGGCCCGCGCAGCCCCGCCCGGCCCCGGCACCGCGCCCCTGGCGTCCCTGGCTCCCCGGGACCGGCCGGGGGTCACCCTGCCGGGCCGGTCACCCCGAGGCCCGTCGGGGGTCCCAGCCTTGAAGGAGGGTGGTGAGGAGCCGCAGGTGATGCACTGGCAGACCTGGGGAGCTCGTGTGGAAAGGCCGGCATCGGGACTCCAGCAGCCGATGGGTGAAAAGCAGTGCCACTGCCCAAGGCCAGTAGTCCTCTCTCCTGCATCTCGCTGTAGCACTGCAGCAAAATTTGAATCATACTTAAACGCACATCCGCACTCAGCAATTGAAATATTCTTGCTGACTTTTTAAATTTGAAAGCAGGTCCCTTAATAAAATATTTCAGACATAGCCTTTCTGCACATATTCAATGCCCATAGATATATGACATACACCAGAAAAACAAACTGCGTTTGGACAAGCTGCTGAAACCCATATTCTTAAAGCTCCAGAAGTTCAAAAGGTTTTGGGTAACAAATTTTTACCAGGCTCAAGCAACTCCAGGGAGAAATGGTATTGGAAAACCTCTACAATGACAAAACCAAAAGTTTCATTTGTCTTCATATGGATGTTACACACTGCTCCCCAGCACTCACTGAAACCCACTGAAGAGATAATCACCTTCTAAAAGTGTTTTACCCTTTCTTAAAATGGCTTAAAGCAGTCAAATAAATTATCCTCTGTGCAATGTTCCTCTTACTGACATAAGCAACACACTGGTTGTTTAAACTAAACTGCTTGTTTAAACTAAACTGGTTGTTTAAACTAAACCGCTTGTTTGTATGTCTGAAGTGATGCGGGAAAAATTTCATTGTGACCTAGGAAAGGATATAAACTTTTACAGCCTGGTTTTTAAGGTAACCTCTGGTCCTTGACTGAGAAGACAGTCCCTCTAAGTGAAGCTTCTTTCAGTGCTGAGTGCTCAAATGCACTGCCTGCTGCTCAGAAACAGAATGCTTGCCTGGTTGAACTAATACATCAGACCTGTTTTCTCTGTACTTAGTTCTAGGGCACAGTGGACATATTAATATGCATATCAGGTTGTCAATACTGAGTTTGAAACACCCGTGTTAAAGGTGCTGGTTCATAACATTGTATCTGTCTATAGTAGCTAGTGTTTTTAGTATGACTAGTTCCTCTGCATCACTACAGCCCTGAGAGCTGTGGCTTATATGGCATGATGCATTTGGATGTTGCATCAACAGTAGACTGTTTTTCTAATTGCCTTTGGTCTGAAGGTTATAGAGTACAGACAGGCATTTTCATAGCCATGTTAGGTATCTGAGATGACACATTAGTAAAGAGCATCGGAACTTATTCTTCACTACAGCTGACACTGTTGATAGAACAAATGTGAGGGCAAAGATGCAGAAGAACTAGCAGCAGTTTTAAAGTTTGCAAGGTATTCAAAGCAACGGAGTGCTGCTTTTTGGGTACCCCTGTTCATCTGAGCCCCACTGTGACTTTACGGTTTCCTTTCTGATCCAGTCACTTTCCATGTGGTGGTATAATGTCCATCCCCCTGTGGCCATGTCCTGTATAACCCCCTCCCTAATAATCTATTCTAATTATAGATACCCTCAAGACTTGCCACCTGGTGTCCACTGGAGAAAACCAGCATCAGGCTTCTCCTGCTGCAATACCTACCTCTGGGATATGCTTTTACTTCAATCGCCAACAAGAGCAGCTAGTCTCTGGAGCATGGAAGAGGTTTGCCAAGGGGACTTGCCAACTGGTTGCACTGATAGAATAGACTGATAATGGTTCCTGGACATGAAGGTAAAATGATTACTGGCCTCATAAGCAGAGCAGGTTAAATATGATACTCTGAGAAATGCACACCAGTACTCAAAAGGCATTATATGTGCTTTTAAGCACTTTCTGATTTTAAGGAAAAATTAAGACATCCATAACTGGAAAGGTGCCTGTGAGTTTGAGAAGTAAGAGATGGAAAGAATGTATTTTATCAGAGAAGAAAATGCTTACATAGAGATAGGAAATACAGTTATGTTTGAAATAGCCTGCTCAGGTAGTCTTCTATTTTATACAGCACTGTAAAATAGTATGAAGCTAGAACATGGTATATAAAAAAAGGTGAACTGTTACAGTCAAACTGTCTTGTGATGGAAGATATGTCACACATTAAAACCCTAAAGACAAGAGGTTGCCCTCAGAAGAAGATGGTCTTGTACTAAACTCTTCGACAGATGAAGACCTCTGCCCTTAGCTATTCAAAAGCGTATGCCACATCATCTGAGATGGAAGATAAGACAAGAAAAGGTGCATTAACCTCTTGAACATGTCTCTGAGGAAGCTCTGCAGGATCCAAACATCATGACCAGGATTCACTCTGTGATTTGTCCTTTTGGTGTCTCATTCTGACATTCTGATGACAAACAGATTTGTTTGTCATCACCTTACCTTATCTGGATACCCATTTATATTCTGCAATATGGAGCATATCATCAGGTCTACTGCTGAGTGAAATGTGAAGATGTGCTGCATGAAGCTGACTTAGTGTCCAGTGACCCTCGCTGCTGGAAAGTGATACCAGCTGACTAGCTGCAGCTCAATCACATAGATATGCCCCTTCAGTGGAAGAAAGAACAAAATTGTTGGACTGTGGAATATGTCTTGCTGTTTCAAAGAGGCAGTTATTGAGACCTGCACCTGTCTGGCTTTTTTATGCTTTGGTTTGGTTTTACTGTTTTAATGTGTTCAAATTGGAGTCCCCAAGTTGAATATGGTCAAACATTACATGTAGAGCTGTATTTTTTAGATCTAGTATTTTTTGAAGCAAAAAGGTACTTTTAAATAAAGTGCTTGAAGTCTAAAACATGACTCCTGGTGGTATGTGCCATTTGTTACCCACTAATACTCAGGTTTCATTCAAGTCCTGTCTTCAAGTTTTAAATGAGGTTTCAGTGAAACAAACCCTTAGGCTGGCCCTTTGTCTGAGGCCAAATGTCACTCCTACATAAAAAAATTGCATACTCTTGGGGATTACTTCAGACCGATTGACTGGGGAATAAGAGAGTGGAGAGCAGCGCTGCAGAAAGGGATTGGGGATTGAATCTGAGTCAGCAGTGCCCTGGCAGCCAGGAGGGCCAACCGTGTCCAGGGGGGCACCAGGCACAGCATCCTCAGTTGGCTGAGGGAAGTGATTGTCCCACTCTGCTCTGCTCTGGGGCGACCTCACCTTGAATGTTGTGTGCAGTTTGGGGCACCACAATATAAGAAAGATGTTGAGCTATTAGAGAGTGTCCAAAGGAGGACAACGAAGATGGGGAAGGGCCTTGAGGGGAAGCCATATGTGGAGCATCTGAGGTAATTTGGTTTATTCATTCTAGAGAAGAGGAGTTTGAGCAAAGACCTCATCACAGTCTACAGCTTTCTCACAAGCAGAACTGGAGGGGCACACACTGGTGGCTCTGTCCTCTGTGGTGACCACTGACAGGACCAGAGGGAATGGAATGAAGCTGTTTCAGGGGAGATTTGGATTGGATATTGGGAAAAGGTTCCTCACCCAAGAGTGGTTGGGCACTGGAACAGGCTCCTCAGGGAAGTGGTCACAGCACCAAGTCTGTCTGAGCTCAAGAAGCATTTGGATAATACTTTCAGGCACATGGTGGGACTCTTGGGTCATGGTGGGTCCTGTGCAGGGTCAGGAGTTGGACTTGGTGATCCTTGCAGGTCCCTTCTAACTCAGAATATTCTGTGATTCTTTGAATTTGAATTTAAGAACTTCACTGAAAGTGAAGGCTGTCTTCACTGAAAGAATTGCCAGTCTGAGGACTGCACAATGTGCCATGAAACACGTTCCTAAAGCTGGTAGGAATTCATAAGGATAGGGAGGAAGCTCTAATTTCTAGAGATGAAGCTTTGCCAGTCTACACTAGAGGGGACAGAATTAGGGAAGAAAAAGACTCTTTAAGAGGGGAAATACTTTATGTTTTAAGATGGCAGTCTTTATTTTGACCTACATACAAAATAAAAATTACTCAGCATTCATTTCAAGTATTTTAAATTATATTACTTCAAATTTAATTATTACTTTTGAAATTGCAAAGGAGAGAAAATTTTTATCTGTTCATGGTGAAATACCCATTTCAATTGGTATTTCATCTGTTTTCTACTCCCCCCACTTTTCCCCATAGTAAAAAGGAAGTCAAATATTAAAAAAAAAAAAAAAAAAAAGTGAAGAAAGCAATACTAGTGCTTTTAAAAATAACATTTTCTCTCGCTTTCAGCTTTCTGTCTTGAAGTGAGAGAAAAAAGAAAAATAACATCAACTAACATTTTGCTTTAGTTGCCAGTGGAAAAAGTTAATTATTTTTTATCAGAGTAATTTCCATCTGGTTAGTGGAAAAAAAAGTTAGAAGCAAAAAGAGGAAAGAAAACTTTTTTTAACTGCAATGAGAATTAATTGAAAAAAATTTCCTCTTGACTATTAAAAAGAGACAAATTAGAAAATAATGATTTTGCATAATTTTATCCTGCAATTTGCTATGAAAAGAACACATAGCTTTACATGAAAAAAAAAATTATTGCTCCTCCATTGTTGAAGGGAAAATAGAGAGGTTTTAAATAATTAGATCATGTTTGCTAATTGGGATGACACTTAAAATTCAGCAATAAATTACAATAAAAACATTGAAAGCAATGATACCCATTTTACCACAAAACTGGATGAATAAATAAAACATTATCAGGTAAAAAAAACCAGTGGTAAGACAAAGTAATTGCCATCTCGCTGCAGTTCTGAGCTACCTTTCAGCCCAGAGTTCAGCTTTGAACCCTTCTGAACAAGAGAGAAAATGGTCTGTTGATGTAGGGTATTGTCTGGGTTTCAGGAGGTGGATTTGGCAGGTTTTTAATTCTTACTGAAGAACTGCAAGTTACAGAATTAGCTTCTGAGGGTAAAATACAATTTATGTCCTGTCACATGAAACTGAGTAACCCTGCAGTAGTCCAGAGTCCCCACATATGATTCCTTTCAAGCCAGTTTTAGAGCTCACTCTTGACTTACAACAGGGTAAAACAAGCTGTGGATTTTGAATGACTACATGTGCACTATCATCTCCTTAATTTGGGAGGCAGCTGGAAGCTGAGAGTTCCTGCACCATGTTGTTGGCTGCCGTGACACCCATGTTCAGCCTGTCCTAAAGTCTGCCTGCCCTGGCAGCACACCCTGTCCATGGCACTGCTGGAGGACCATCAGTGACCTTGTATGTCAGGTGTTAGTCTTGTAACTCACTGCAGGCCCGTACTGATGGGCCATCAGCCTCACACTGCTCCATCCTAGCTACTCAGGTGGCAAAAGCACATCGAGGTACTCTAAAGCAAAGGGCAGTTTTGGTTTGGTTTTCTTCTGTTGTTTTCTCTCCAAGCTGAATTGTGTAAATCTACCTCTGGAAACGCAACAGCAACTAGATATTTTACAAGATATTCTCATCTAGTCTTAAGACATGCCTTAAAATACTTTGCTGAGGTTTCCTGCTACCTCTGCTAGTTCTGTAGGATTTAAAATTGCTTATTATTATTTTGCAAGGGTCCATTCTCCTGTCCTCTTGAGCACACTACAGTAGAAATAGCATTTTGCTACTGCATAGAGAATAGGAAGCAAGAAATCCAGGCAAGCGTGATTCATACAGTGCAATGACAGGCTACTGAACACAGAATGTGGGGAACTGCTCAATCTTCCTACTGCAAAGGTCCAACAGAACCTGGTCCTGCACTGGGAACACCACAACTCTTCAAGGCTATAGCAATTTCACATATTTCAGAGCTGCAACCAGGGTAGTGCCTTATTTTGCACTCTTGCCCAGGATTTTTTGTGCATGCAGCTATGCAAGGACCTTGATGGGGTCTTTCATTCTAGTTCTCTTACTGTGTAGAAAATTACAGTGAGTCCTACTCCTGAGGGAGTAGTTTGTGACTGATATTGCCTAAATAGAATTTAGCCATTCTACTGATGTAGTCTTTAGTCTTACTGCTATAGTCATCCAATCCTTTTAACTGTTTCAGCTACCAGAAAATCTCATACTTTTTGCATAGATCTTGATATCCAAACAACATAAACAGCAAGAATGATTACCTTCATTTTATATGTCTCCTAAAAATTCCAGAGCTGTTAATTCAGACCACCTACAAGACTGACTGTCTGTTTCCTTTCCCCTTTTGTGTACTTTATTATTACTAGCAACATTACTATTGGTACACTTTTGCAGTATCATTTTGGCCTTTTTTTTTTTGATTTCCTATGTTTTCTGTTTACTATTTATTTGTCTGTCCACGCACTCTAATAGGCTGACACAAAGTAAAGACAATTTAAGGATGTTTTTCCTCTGGTCTTTTATTTCTTTCTGCTTTATATGCTCTTTAATTTAGTAAGTCATTCCTAGTCACTGGTATTTTGCAGTTGGTTGGGATGTGCTGTCTAAGAGTTGCATTGCAGAATTTAGTGAATGACCCGAGTGGAGGGAGCACAGCAGGGGTGCCCAAAGAGGGCAGCAAGCTGAGCATTTTGCTAAAGGCCCGCAGTTTTGGGAGTGGGCAGAGATGGCCTCCACTGTGCATTGTGATATATAGGGGGTCACCGTCAGTGTTTACCTTGTGCCTGTGGGAGTGCCTTCTAGTCCTGCTTGAAGTCGCATTATAACCTAATGCTAGAATGGTGTTACCATATTTCTGAAATACAAAGAAATTTTGTTCTTTTTCATTACTTGCAAATGCAATAGAGCAACAATGGTAGAGCTGTTGCTGAAAGCATAATTTCCAATGCAAAAATATAGATCAAGGACATTGTAAAGTGCAGGAAAGGAGCTTTTTTTTTAATGTTCTTTTCCAAATATTCATGGTATGATTTTTGGGGTCGTCCTGTGCAGGGCCAGGAGGTGGATTCAATGATTCTTTTGAGATCCTTTGAAGTCAGGATATTCTATGCTTCTATGAAATATTCCATTCAGCTTTACCCAAGATAGCTTCAACTTCTCTGATTGATTTTTTTTTCCAATTTCTCTTTATGCTGGTTCCAAACACTTTTTGAATTCCAAATTTAGTAGGGTGTGGTTTAGTCTTTGAAACTCAAGGAAAGCGTGATTTGTTTTAGGCTGATCTGATGTATTTAGCTGCAGTCACCATGAATACATATTTTTGAGATAGCAGTTATTATATCATCATTCCGTAGAACAATAGTATGTATCTGTGTATATCATGTAAATTATACAGGCAACTCCTCTTTCTCCTCCCAGTAATTCTGCAACTCCTATTTTTTGCGTATTTTTTCAGTACCTAAATGCTGCTATTTCTGAGATAACACAAAGTGCAGTTGCACTCAGTTTTGTGAAAAGGCGTGAATTAATATATCCTTTTGAAGCAAAGTCATGGAAATATATTGCATAGGTGGAATGTAGTTTCCATTCTTGGGTATTACAAAGGTGCTGAATTTTAGCAAAACATCGTTCGAGCTTTTTTTTGATGTTTCTCTGAGAAAATCCCAGTTCCACAAACCTTAATGTATCAACTTTGTAATAGGAAATGGGTTTACTAAGAAATTGAGGGAACAGTGTTACTTATCTGGACATCCTTCCCACAAGCTGTGCATGTTTTCTTTGGAGAGTTTCAGTCAAAGTAAATTTTGTCATCATCAAGAGAAAGCACTCAGAATTCCTTACGACCCATCAGTCATAAAAATATTTATTGCTATTTTTTTCCTGCATTTACACATTGTATTAACAGCAATAAATTCATTATAGATGATTCATTCAGTGAAAAGATTTTCTTACCTCCAGAGGAGTCTCTGATTACCTTTTAATTTTTTTGGACATCTCAAGGCTGTA